GTTGTAATTGGACTGGCGGTAAAGCTGGTTCGTCGCATGCCGTGTACCCATCTTGAAGAAAGTATTGCGAACAATTCCTAGAGTTGTGAGTAAGGGGACGTCCAGCTCCTCTCGAACCATCGTGGGGGAAATCTCCGCCGCAGCGATGATTGACTTGAGCGCTGGAGATTCCACATCAACCTCTGCGAGAATAGACAAACTGTCCAGAAAAAAAGAGGCAGTATCCTGCGCCCTGTCGCCCGCATGTGCCAGAAGATCTTTGATGACATGACCAGCTTCTGCGGGATCTATCCTGCCACCAATGCCTGCCTCTACCAGCTCTTGGAAAATCACACTCAACGCCAGGATGTCTCCACTTTCTTGAGCCTGGACCGCCGCATCCAGGACCGCCTTTTTTCCAGAAGTTTTCCAGGCATTCTTGTGGTCGTCTGTGAGGTACTGATAGATAAATTTGATGGGAGGTTTCGCTACAGAGGACGCAGCGGGCGCGCTAGGCCTGTCCGTGGCGGTCTTTTCAGCCGGGGTTGCGGGACGACTATGCGGAGCACTTTGAACCTGTTGATGCGGTCTGCTGACTGTGGGACTGGCCGGAGCATTGTCGCTTCTTTGGAAGTTTGCATGCGACGCCGGGGCTGAAGAGTGAGCATTAGATTCAGAAGACCCGACAGCAGGAGTGTTGGACGGGCTGTCCACCGCAGCATCTCGCTCACCACGGCGTCCACCACCAGCACCAGCTCCTCCACGGCTCTCCCTCCTGCCGCCCCTTGCGGACCCAGCTCCACTGCGCCCGCTGCCACCGGGGCTGTTGCTGTACTGATTCTGCTGGGCCAGGTTCATGTTGTGCGGCCGGTGAGGTGAAGGTCTGCCGTTGAAGTCGCCATCTTGGGTGCTGTTCCTCTCGGGTCGCTTGCGCTTAGCAGGAGGGGCCATGGCGACCTGGAGTGTGAGCGAAGAAGCCTCAAGGCTTGACCGGGGATGCTATGGTGGTGCGCATCAAAGAAGGCAATGTAACTCAAAGCAGATCGCAAGCAGGGCCTTGTCGGTGTCTGAGAAATTCGTTGGTAGTATGCGATTGCCAGATACAGGATGCAACCGGCTTTGATTGTAAAGAGAAGGTAAGAGGGAGCGTGAGGAGGAAAGGCGGGCTAAGAGATTTGAGTGCGATGGGTGATGGAGCTGTTCGGTCGAGGACGTGACCGCGACGGTGAAAGACAGCGCGCGACGTTTCCGCCGCCAAGCACATGCACGGACTATTACTCAGGAGCTGCGTCACTACCCCTCCGCATTATTTTGATAGCAGGCATTCACACATGCGACTTACTTTCACAAGGCTACACTATTCGAAAGATCAATGCGAGGAGCATAGAGCTCAACTCGTAATATATATTGTCACTATTCAAATCAAGGCCAAATCATCCAGGCCCCAATGTTAAGAGAGCGGCCGAGCCTGATCAAGACAAACATCACACGCTTCTACGCAGCAGCAGCCACCGCGCCAGCAGTCTGAGCCCTCTCCTTCTCCAGGACAGACTCCAAGACGCCGGCGGCGCCTTGACCAGCTTCGAGATCCTTGGCAACGTGCTCAATGCCAAGCTGCTTGTCAGTCCAGAGGGGCTGCTCAGCAGATTGGCCTTGCTCGCCAACACCTAGGAATCCGCCCTCGGCTGCCCAATCGCTGGTACGCTTGATGCCGAGTTGATTCCAGACGGCATCAATTGCTGTAACGAGGTGGTCGCGGTATTCCTTGACATGGCCGGGCGTCGGCGTGATGCGCAGACGCTCCTGACCCACGGGCACAGTGGGGTAGTTGATTGCTTGAACGTAAATGTCCCATTCCTCAAGCAAAATGTCACTGGCCTTCTTCGCAGTCTCTGCATTGCCTACAAGGACCGGGATGATGTGGCTCGGGTTGGGAATGACTGGGATATTCTTGTCCTCAAGAGCATGCTTGGTTGCACGCGTGTGGAGTTGCTGCAGACGACGGTCTCCCTGGTACGCCATCTGATATTCAATGGCGGCTTGGGCACCCGCCATGGTCGCCGGGGGGAGGGAAGTGGTGAAGATGAATCCAGGAGCAAGAGAGCGAATGGTGTCAACAAGGTTGGCCTTGCCAGCAATGTATCCACCAACACACCCATAAGCTTTGCCCAGAGTTCCGGTTATGATGTCAATGCGGTCCATGATCGTTCCCTGTGGTTTCCCTTGAGCATGGGCCTCGTAGTCCAGGTGTTCAGCGACACCGGCGCCCGTCGGCCCATACATGCCGACGGCGTGCACTTCATCGAGGAACGTGATGGCGCCGTACTTTTCAGCCAAGTCGCAAATCTCCTCGATCGGACCAATGGACCCGCACATGCTGTACACGCTCTCAAAAGCAATGATCTTGGGGGTCTCTGGGGATAGGGAGGCAAGCTTTGCCTCTAAATCCTCAAGATCATTGTGCTTGAAAACCATCTTCTTCGCGCCCGAGTGTCTGATTCCCTGGATCATCGAGGCGTGGTTCAGGCTGTCCGAGAGAATCACACAATCAGGCAGCTTGCTTCCCAGCGTGGCCAGAGTGGCGTCGTTGGCCACGTAGCAGGAAGAGAATACCAAAGCCGCCTCCTTGGCGTGCAGCTTTGCAACGGTCTGCTCCAGCTCGACTGCATGCTTGTTGTGGCCAGAAATATTTCTCGTTCCTCCGGCACCGGCGCCATAAGTGTCCAAGGTCTCGTGCATCCTCTTGATGACCTGCGGGTTGCGTCCCATGCCGAGGTAGTCGTTCGAGCACCAGACTGTCACTTTGTCTGCCTCAGTGCCCATGTGCGCCCTGGGGAACTCCTTGGCGAGGCGGTTGATGTTGTTGAAGTAGCGGTACGATTTGTCCTTGTGTTTCTTGTCCAGTTCATCGTTATACCAGCCATCGTAGTCGAAGTTCGCGGCGCGCGGAGAAGGAGGTTTTCCGTGCAAGTGCTTGGGGACAGCATTTGCAGTAGCGGCCGGCTTCGCAATTTTCGGGTAAGGAACTACCAGGTCATGCCAGTCAGCAATGGTTTCAGAAAACGTTGTCGGTGGAGTGTCTCCTACCTTGGTCGCAGCGAATGTTGACGTCGACGGCCTGCGCCTTGTTGCCGGCCGAAGTGTGCAGACGAGCACGGCTGGCCTTGGAGTGGTAGGCCCTGGTGCCGCCGTAGACTCCAGCGAGGGCCGTGTTGGCGCGGGCGCCCTGGACAGCGAGAGCCTTGCCCATGACAGGGCAGCGGCGAGCAATGACTTGCAAGTTGGACATGCTGCCGCCGCCGGGCGAGGCGTTGTGGGCGGCGGTGGTGGTCGAAAGCGAGCGCAGCGTGGCGGGCGACGTCTTGTGCAGGAACGGGCACATGTTGCGCGACTGGCGGATGAACGCCTCCATAATGGGTGATGATGTGGCAATCACAGTTCGGGCGAGGGCGACGGCGACAGCGACGGCGAGTGCAGACGCAGCGGGCAATTTTCGTGGGAGTTGGGAGAAGGTGCAATGGCAGCAGAAGGAGACTGGAGAGAAGAAGAGGTGGTGGTCGTCGTCAAAGAGGCGTAGCCGGGGGCCCTGATGGCTTTTGTCATTCGCTGAGGCTGGAAAGCGAAGCGAAGCGGAGCCGAGCCGACCTTGTCAGCACAACCGAGTTAGCGTGCTTCTGATTGGCCGCAGCGCGCCCTCAGCACCTGTGCGCGCATCCGCAGAATCTCTTCTTTTCTGGTCGTCTGAGATTGTCGGCAGGGACAAGAAGATCACATCAGCCTGGTCAGAGAGCACTGCCTCCAAAACGTCTGTTGCCGCAAACTTCTTCGCCTGCGGCCCCAAACTCAACATCCGCCGCCGTGTCCGGCCAACGCTTGGCTCCACCGAAGGTGCCGAACATGCCGGACTCTTGGGCTTCGTTGGGAAATTCTCCTTGGCCTCCCGCTGGAAGAAGAGGCTGGACATCATCGTGCCATCATTGCTTTTCTTCCACTTGTCTTCCATTGCATTGTGAAGTAGCGACGCGCGTGCGCCATCCGCCAGCCGCCAGCCGCCAGCCGCCAGCTTTGGTTCTCTCCCCTCGCTCAAGTCTCCGCAACCGCAGCGGTGGCAACTTTGCCCGGCCGAATTTTTTTTGCCTCTTTCGTCCATCCCCAACATCACTCCAGCCTTATACATGGCCAAGAAAGCAATAGAGCCAAGAAAGTAAACAGAATCCGCCGTCTTCCTGCGCCTCGCCTCCACACGGTTCGTGCACACCCCAACTCACCACCACCACCACCTAACCGCCGCCAACCGAAACCTGTGCCTTTCTTGAATCGGTGGAGATCGGATTTCAAAAGCAATCCGGTCCAGCCTCTTGCCGCTTACCCGTGCCCATCCAATGCCCAATCAAAATCTTCTCATTTCGCATCATGGTTCCCGACCTATATTGCCCTGCTATATGGGCGCGTAGTATTTTGTAGACCCTGTGATGATGCTGTCAGCAGTGGCGCTGAACCCTTGTTTCATTAGTGCACCCTCTTAAGGAGCAAAGGATTTCTTCACCGCGGGAGAAGAGGTAAGCGAGGTCTCGCGTAAGATGTAGTTCTCACATTAATGCGGGCAGTTGGAACGTTTGTGGTCACGAAATGCATTGGGCCGAGATCGATGTGATAATATTGAGCGACCAAATGTTGATGGAGTCGCCGTGCACGCGGATTATATCAATGATAAATGTGACTTGTAACGAGCTGCGTCGCGCTGTTCGAAGTGCTGTGCGGCAGCCAGCTTGGGTGTGTTGGACGGATCGAAAACCGCCCCCTGAAACCCTCCGCACCAACAACCCCTTGGACCACCCACCGACACAATACACATTCGATGCCCCTGAAAACCTTCTCCCCTGTACTCGCGCTTTCTTGCTTGTCGTTTCTTCCTTGGTGCGATCGAAAATCCAGGCTCTTGCGCGTGTTTTGCCCCGAAACGACCCTCATTGACCCTGTTTCCGATGAACAAAAGCATGGGGAACAAAAAGACAAAATTGTTCCGTCACGGGGAATTGAACCCCGGCCTTGTCGGCACTTAGAGAGACTGGAGAACTCTTGCTGAGAGCGACAAATCCTAGCCACTAGACCATAACGGATATTCCGAGCCAAATTCGCGTATTTCACGAAATAAAGTTACGCTAGCTTGGCAACTCCTCGCGTCAATTGATTAATTAATTGATTGATTGTTTTACGTCTTGCTGGAGCCATAGGCTATCCAAGACGGAGCTATCTACAGGGGATACCGCGTACGTTTATAAGGTAAGGAGGGATGCCCGGCTAAAGAATCTCGTACGATGAAGTATAATTCTTAGTATAATATTAGTATAGGGTTATTATAGATAATTAATTAATTAATTAATTAATTAATTAATTATTTTATATCTTACTAGAGCTATAGGCTATCTAAGACGGAGCTATCTATAGGGGATACCATATACATTTATAAGGTAAGTAGGAATACCTATCTAAAGAGTCTTATATAATAAAGTATAATTCTTAGTATAGTATTAGTATAGGGTTATTATAGATAGATAGTTTATCTAGGCTCTTTTTAGGTAAGGGGGGGCTAAGAACTAGCCTTCCTACTATTATCTAAGTAGATAGGTAGTATAAAGTAAGAGTAATAAAAGGAAGGGGGGTAGGAAGAAGGTATATATAGAAAAGTAAATATAGTATAGGGTAGTAGGTAAGGTAGATTATATATATACTCTACTATAGCATTCTAGTACTATCCCTAATAGCATAACTTTAAGGTTACCTAATATTTATACTAGGGGGATAGCTTTATTAGATAATAGGGATAGTTTAGGTCCTAGGAGTAATAAGTACCGTTATAGTTACTATACTTTAACGCTATATAGGTATATATTATACCTCTCTTTATATAGTATTTATAGTTATGCTTCTCTATAGTATAGGGGCTAGTATATAGTAAGTATTTAGTCCTATTATAATACCTAGAGGAGCTATAGCTAAATGCTTAACACTTTATATACTATATATCTAGAGTAATCTTAAGGAGCTTTATAACCCTAATACTTACTCCTATAAGATAGAGTAGCTTTAAGATAGCTATCTCTACCTCTTTTACTATATAGAAGGCTATAATAACTAACCCTACTTTTTAGGTAGCCCTCCTTTTAGCTAAAGTAAGCTAGTATAGAGTTCTAATAATAGAAAGGCTAGGATTAAAGGTATAGACCTCTTCTATAATAAATTATCTAATATTAAGTAAGTATAGGTCTTCTATAGGGATGCTATAGGTAATAACCTTATACTAGGTTTAGTTCTCCTAGACTATAGCATCTAGGAATAGGTAAGTAAAGAGGTCCTTATAGGAGGTAAGGAATTTAGAGTTATACTAGAGTAAGCTAGTAAGTAGGATGTTATCTTTCTCTATATATATTACTATTAATATAACTAGGCTAGATATACCTATATTCTTAAAGGCGTTATTAATATTATTTTATATAGAGAGAGGGTTAAAGTCTAGGAAGGGACTTTACTACTAGATAATAACCTATATATCCTATAGGGCCTTTAGGGGAGTAGTAGCTAGCTTTATAGTTATCTTTAGGTAAGGAGTTATATATAGTTTTCTAGTAGTAGTTACTTTCTAGGCTTAGGTTACGTATAATAGGTTAGCTAGGGTTATAGGAAGGATAACTAGCTTTTATAGCTAGTAGACCTTTACTCCTAGTATATAAGTAGTATTTTTAAGGGAGTAAACTTAAGTAGTAAGAACTAATAACGTATTATCTACGTAACCTATCTTAGTATAATCCTATAGGATGTTACTAAGGTTATAGAGTCTTTACTTCTTACTTATATTATACGTAAGGTTTATTACGTATAGGATATAAGAGAGTACTATATTAATTACCTCCTAGGTAGTATTAAAGTTTAGATAAAATCTAAACCTAGTCCTTTTTTCTTAGTAGGTAGGGTTAGGTTTAGAGGTATCTACTAGGATAGTTCTCTTTAGTATAGTATACTATTTCTTAATTAGGCCTAGTACGATAATTAGTAGGAATAATAGGGGGATAGGGTATATAGAGAAGTCCTAGTCTATTTCCTTAGGTTTATTAGCTAGTTAAGTAGGTAGTAGGCTAGGTAGTATAGGGGTATCTTAGTCTATTTTCTTAGGTTTATAGTTATAGCTATCTAGTAGAACTAGGTTAGGTAGGGCCTCCCCCTAGAGGGTAGGTATAGGTATAGTCATAGTACGATACTTTAGAGGGTAGGTTTTTACTTTCTAACTTTAGTTATATACGTATAAGCCCGCGCTATAGAGTTATAGTAGGTATAGTGATTTTTAATTTTTTAAAAATTTTATATATAGTAATAACTTATTAACGTATAGGCTTTTTTTAAGAAGTAGTAGCTAAACTAAAGAAGAGTATATAGTTATTATAGATAGATAGTTTATCTAGGCTCTTTTTAGGTAAGGGGGGGCTAAGAACTAGCCTTCCTACCGTTATCTAAGTAGATAGGTAGCATGAAGTAAGAGTAATAAAAGGAAGGGGGATGGGAAGAAGGCGTATATAGAAAAGTAAATATAGTATAGGGTAGTAGGTAAGGTAGATTATATATACACTCTACTATAGCGTTCTAGTGCTATCCCTAATAGCACCGTTTTTAGTTAGCGTTATATAACACCTTTCTTGGCACCTATAAAGGTGAAAAAAGCGGGTAAGGTTAATAAAAATTTGCTGCTCCCCCTCTCCTCCTAACCATCGACAATCACTTTACAACTTCAACGACTCAGCATATCACCATGCTACTACCGGATCCGAATATGACCATTAAAGAAAGACCATTGCGTCAAAGAAAACTCACAATCATTCAACATTTAACCATCGACATCTTCAGCTACCACCGCTCTCTCCTCTTCCTTTCTCTGTTTTTTTTTTTTTTTTTTTTTTGTGGTTTTTGTGTCCTTCATTCCAGATCCAACGCCGCGTCCTCTGCCAAACAGCAAATGAAGATTTCCGACATATGGACTGGGCCAGTAAATTTGATCCATCAAAATCCACCGAATCAGGCGTCTTCCTGGGCGTCTCGCTGCGTGGGACCGACGAGGCGAAGTGGCGACTCACACGGAGACTTTCTTTCTTTCTTTCTCTTACTCGGCACGTTATTTTAAAGCATTCTTTGTCGTTGTGTTCCTGTCATATGCAATGCTCAAGAGCGTCGTTGCGTCACCAAGTTCATTGTGTTCAGGTATGCCTATTGTCACAATCAGCAATGAGGAGGTTTCATGCATCGGCCACAAAACCGTCGGAAGACCAATGGAATCTTTACACACATTGTAGCAGTGCATATAGTGTTGAGATAAAGATAACAAAGCAAGCAAGCACTAGCAACACACACGCCTACCATCACCATCACCATCACCACAAATCAAACACGACGCCATCATCGCTCAACCCAGCGCCCCACCTGAGACCCAAAACCCGGCGCACGTCATCCAGACCAGAGTCAACGCCGATGCGCTCGTCCGCCAGCATCAGGCCTCGTGAGTCGAGACTGCTGCTGCGCCGTGTCTGCTCGCACAGCGGACAGCAGGGCTGCTGTAACTGCTGCGGCTGCGCGTGCTCTTCGACGAACAGAGGTTACCGGAGCGGCACGAGGTTCGTCCTACGGCCGAGAAGGTAGGCACGCACGTCGTTGAAGTGGTGGCGTGCGAACGAACCAGCCACTGCCACTGCCTTGTGCATCGTCGTCGTTGCTGTACGTGTCAAGTAAGATGCGGCCGTCGGAGCCGCTGCCGTAGCGGTCGCTTGTCACGCCTACCGAGTCGATGAGGCGGCGGCGCATGTGCAATGAGATTGAAGAGGAAGGGGGCTTCTTGGACGAGGACGAGGAGGAAGGAAAGAACGACAACAAGACAACGCGCAGCCGCACAAGCAGCTTCTCCCACGACTTATCCGACTGCGGAAACACAAGGGCGACTACATCGTCGTCCGGGTCGTCCGGGTCCCACCACAACGGCACGCGACGATTCCGGCCCACGGCGTCGGCCGACGCGATTAGCCGCGAGAGATGCACCTCGGAGACGCGCGGGGAGAGGGCGAGGCCGTGGAATGGGAGGAGCGAGTCTTGATGGAGGAAGTCGTCGGCGCAGCACGAGTCGAGGCCGCTGTCTAAGCGCAGCGACTCGAGCGCGTTGGCTGGCGTGCAGCACAGCCGCGCCAGGCTGTGGTCGTCGCGGTGGTCGTCGCGGTGGTCGTCGCATTTGTCGCCGGGGTGGTGGAGATGCCGAGCAGAGCTCGTGCTCGTACGCTGTCGGGGTCGAGCACGTCCACTTTGACGGCTCTGAAGAGGTGCCGTGATGTTGTGGGATTGAATGATTGGCATACCAAGCGCATGGATTGCAGCGTTGGCACGTTGGTCTGTCTGAGAATCATGTCTTTGAGCTCTCCTCTGGTAGCTGTGGGAAGAGTGGAGACATGGCGGCGCTGTTGCTTTCGTCGAACGCCGTCGTCTGCAGGTGGCATAGATGGTGGAGAGGCCCCAAGGGGAGGCGCGCTCTGCGTCGACTCAAATGCATGGGACGCGTCGCCGCGTGATCGTGACCAAATTTGCCAGTCGTCTTTTTGCAAGAGCGCATTGTGATTGATGTTGTGCACTCAAGCGGCGGTGCGACGTGCTGATATTCACGCTGCCTGGAACCTGCGGTTGTTTCTTTTGGAGCTGCACAGCGCCATCGCGAGGGGGCCAAAGCAAATAGATGATCTTGACAAGTCATATTGTGCGCCATAGCAAGTGTAAATACAGGCATCCCATCCCATCCGATCTGGCCAACCTAAACCTATTCGCCAGTGCATCAGTAGCAACGGCGGCGCAAAGCCTTCATCCGTTCGTCCTGCCTTCATGATCCCCCACCTCTCGCTCAATGAGGTCGTTCGTGCCGCGGCCGTGATCTCATCCATTGCCCGACCAAGCCCCCACCCCAAAACCCCCAGAACAGATTCTTCATTCAATTGTCTGCCCGGCCGTCCACTCTGGCGCCGCTCTATGCATTGACTTGACCACCTACCCACACCTACCAACCCTAACCCTTGGGCCAAGGTCGTTGCCGCCGCTGCGCCAA